TTTTGAAATTTTATTTATTTATTTATTTATTTATTTATTTATTTATTTATTGTATTTATTTGTATGAGTGTTTTCCCTGTGTGTATGTAAGTGTACCATGTGCATGCAATGCCCACAGAAACCAGACGAGTGCAATAAATTCCCTTGTGGGTGCTGATAACCAAACCTTGGTCCTCTGAAGAACAGCAGGTGCTCTTAACTGCTGAACCATTTTCCCAGTCCTGGAAAAAAAATTTTAGGAAAGAATCGAATAGAAATTTAGAATTTAGGAAAAATAAACAAATACACTGTTTTAGGATTCAAGAGAGTAACGATTGCAGTAATTAATTTCATTTCATTTTCGTTAGGCTCTAACAGGACCTTGAGCCAGACATCCAGGAAGTTGCTGTGCAGGCATTTTGGGGATTAAGGTTAACATCTAAATCAACAAACCCAGGGAAGCAGTGTACTCTCCACACTGTGGGTAAGTCCTACTAATCAGTTCAAGACCTTAAAAATCTTAGTTTCCGTGGGGTAAGAATTTGCTGCTAGTTGCCTTTGGGCAGCTTCAACTCCTCCATGAGTATCCAGTTTGCCAATTTCAGAACGTTTAAATCCTACAAAGTATGTGTGAGCTGATGTATTGCTCTATCTCTGTCATTATCTCTCCCAGTCTTACATCTGTTTTCATTGTCTCTGACTCTGACCCTCCTGAGACCCTTTCATAAGGACTCTGGTGACTGCATTTGGCCCAGTTGTATTATCCAAAATAATCTTTTTAGCTCAATAACATGAACATAATCACAATTGAGAAGGTCCTTGTGCCATATAAATTACTTAGTGGCAGGTTCAGAGATTAAATCAGTGCCATCTTTGAGAGGGTATTTATATGTGGTCTATATAATCGATTAAAAAAATCAATCTGGGGTCTGGAGAGATTGCTCAGTTGTTAAGAGCACTGCATGCTCTCTCAGAGGACCCAGGTTCAATTCCCAGTACCCACATGGCAGCTAACAACCTTCCATGTACACAGATATGTAAAGTTTCAAGATGTTGGTCAGTAAGTATCTTTTAAATTGGAATACTTTTCCTCCTGAAATGGTGGTAGTCATCACTGAAAGCTCCCTCTGGCATGCTAAGATATCCTAGACCTGCTTGCATCTTCATGGATTTGCATCACTCAAAAGGACTTTGCCTTCTTTCAGAATCTATGGAAATCACAGTCTAGACACTGGTACTGCATGTTCAGTAAAAGCTTGCTAAGTATGCCACACAGTTCTGTCAACTTGACATAAACTATAATTACTCAGAAAGAGTCTTATTCAGGAATTATCTAGATCAGATTAGCCTGTGGGCATGTCTGTGGGAGATTTTTCTTGATTATTAAGTGAAGTAAGAAAAGCCAGACCCACTCTGGGTAGCAATATTCTCTAGACAGGTGGTCTTGAGGGATAGCAGACAGAAAAAAAGCTAGATAAGAGCAAATAGTGATGTCTTATATTTTCCTTTTCCTTTTCCTCTTAACTGCAGATGTGATGTGAGGAACTATTTGAATTTCTGCCTTGACTTCCCCAAATGATGAACTGCAACTTAGAACTGTGAGCCAAATAAGCCCTTCTGCCCCTATGCTGCCGTTTGTCAGGGCATTTTATCACAGCAACAGAAATGAAATTGGACAGTGTATATTGGTATTCCTTGATCACTTAGGTGTAAAAAAAAACTACAAATTAAACACTTGAGTTTTCCTTAAAATGTCCGTGTCATATTGATATTTTAACATATTTCTAGCACCACATTTCTATTTAATTTTCATTGACTCAGTAATTATGCTGTTATTTCCTTATAGTGGAAATGTTTATTTCTAACAAAATAATCATCCTTATATATTCTTTGTATAATAATACAAAAATAATAAGATAGATGTAAACATTAAAAACCAAGTTCTGATGTTCAATTTTCCTATCTACAACTTCTTGCCTCTAGTGTGCATTCATCTGTGTATGCACATATTCATATATATGCATATATAATGAACTTTTCCTCAGAGCTCTCATAACTCATCTTATATGGCTACAGAAGTATTTGTTTGACATATTTGTTGCTGTTTGTTTCAAGTACAAGCTGTTATTGTTCTAGCAGATGATATCTCTATGTTCTTAAAGAATGTCATTTGGGGACTGTTGTCTAGATTCTGATGGACAGTAGTGGAAAGCAGCTCTGCTGTTCTACTTCAAGAGGTGGAAGGAAAGCTTCTTGAATAAAAGCTTCAGTAATTTAATCTCCAAAGCCTTGTAAGTGTCTCATTTAGATGCTGTTTGGACTATATGTCATGGTTAAATGCACAGTTACTTGCACAAGATTTCTATGTACAACTTTAGTGGGGCAAAACAATCCT